GTGGGCAGCCTGGGCCCTGGCTATGAGGGCCGGCATATTGCCATGGAGAAGGTGGCAACTAGGACCTACCGCCTACGGCTGGAGGCTGCCAGACCTGGTGATGCAGGCACCTACCGCTGCCTTGCCAAAGCCTACGTCAGAGGGTCTGGAGCCCGGCTTCGAGAAGCAGCCAGCGCCCGCTCGCGGCCCCTCCCTGTGCATGTGCGGGAGGAAGGTGAGAGGCCTTTGGTAGGTGAGAGGGTCAGGCTCATCAGCTACCTCCATCCCGCAGATCTCACAATCCTCTTCTTCCAAGATTGGGGAACTCCCTGGGTTCCCTGGAGTTTAATTGGACAGCACTTCTTCCTAGCCCCCATGCTCCCTGGCCCTTCACCCTCTAATGCATGCCCATTGTTCTACAGGTGTGGTGCTGGAGGCAGTGGCATGGCTTGCAGGAGGCACAGTTTACAGGGGGGAGACTGCTTCCCTGCTCTGCAACATCTCTGTGCAGGGTGGCCCCCCAGGGCTGCGACTGGCCACCAGCTGGTGGGTGGAACGACCAGAAGAAGGGGAGCTGGGCACTGCCCCTGCCCAGCTGGTGGGTGGCATGGGACAGGATGGTGTGGCAGAACTGGGAGTCCGGCCCGGAGGAGGCCCTGTAAGCATGGAGCTGGTAGGGCCCCGAAGCCATCGGCTGAGACTGCACAGCTTGGGGCCCCAGGACGAAGGCGTGTACCACTGTGCCCCCAGTGCCTGGGTGCAGCATGCAGACTACAGCTGGTACCAGGCAGGCAGTGCCCGCTCGGGGCCAGTCACAGTCTACCCCTACACGCATGGTGAGTGACTCATTACCCCCACCCTCCTCACTGCCTTCCTCCCAGCCCCATGCTCTATCCTTCCCTTTCTGTCTTCTGATCCTTCCCTTACTGTCCTCTCTGCCTTCTCATCACTCTGCCTCCTTCTCTTGAAAAGCCTTGAGAAATCAGTTTCAATCTTCAATACACAACTGCACCAGGGTCCTCCATGGTCAATATTGACCAAAATGCTGAGAGGGCGGGGAATGGGCCAGGCAGGAGCTGTCTGTGAGAGGGGAGGAGGTGGGTCCTGGGAACTTGATGGGGAAAGTGTTGAGAAACAAGGGTGGCAGTGGGTGGGGACAATGGCACGCCAGCTGAATGGAGCCATCTTCTCTCACCCAGCCCTGGACACCCTGACCATGCCCTTGCTGGTGGGTGCAGGGGTTGCCCTAGTCACTGGCGCCACCGTTCTTGGCACGATCACCTGCTGCTTCATGAAGAGGCTGCGCAAACGGTGATCCCTCCATTCCCAGGTGAGGGAGCAGAACCCCCCAGCCTGTCTTCCCCTGACCTCCCTTCCCCAAGTCCTGGAGGAGGAACATCCAGCTTGCAGTTCTGACCCACTGCCCTCCTGGGAGTCTGTTAACAGGGCGAGAGCCAGGAGGGAGTCCCACCCAGGGCTCGCTCTCCTTGGCTAACTCATGCACTCTCTCTCTCTCTCTCTCTTCAGTTCTTGCAGGTGTCAACTGTCTTCCAGTCCAGCTCCAAGCCCTCCTCTGGTTGCCTGGATACCCTCTTCCTCTGCCAGCTGCCCGCCCTTTAATTTATTTGACCTCTCCCCACCAAGAGTGGGAGGCATGGCTCCCATTCCCCACTCCTTCCCTCCCCAGTGGAGACCTCCCAGCCCCCTTCCTCTGGCCTTCTTCTCTTGGTCCCATACCCATCCCATTGGGAGGGCATTCCCTGTCCTAGAATTAGTTTTTCTAAAATGTGAATAAATTGTTTTTGTAATATCCAGGGTTGGCTGTGTCTTCCCTACCAAGAGGTTGGAAAGGGATGGGAGTGTGTAGCAGGGAGGTTGATGGGGGCTGACAACCTATTTGATACGACTCAGGCCTTTCTCACCACAAACACCATCTGGCCTCCTTGGGCCGTGCCACTCACCCCAGGAGGGGACACCTGGGTCCCATCTGCTGCCCGAGCTGTCAGCACTGAGCCTATTCCTGATTGGACTCTGACTGGGGAGAGGAGCACAGAAAGGGAGGCTGAGTTCCAGCTGAGCTTGTTCCCCTACCCTCTCCCAGCCTTCTCCTCTGTTAGAGGGCAGAGGCTTCCAGGGACAGGTCTTGTTCCCTAGACTCTTTCATATCACTCTGCATGTCTCTTTCTCTTGGTTGGGCTAGTCTTAGCCTGACTCCTCCCACTACAGCCTGAGGCTTCAGTCTCTTTCCTCCTGACTTTAATTAGACAGCAGAAGAAACGAGGCCCCAGAACACAATTGTCTGGGTGGTGGGGTCAGCAGCCTGGGGAAGATCTGTGTGTGCACAAAGCCCCTACATGCATCTGCCACCCGCTCTGGCTTCACCCCTCCTCCAGTGCCCCAAGGAGTCCCTGAATTTGTCTTTGCCTAAGGATGTTCTGATCCTAGAATTCTTAGCTGCACTGTACCACAAGAGCACCTATTCTACCTGCTTCAATTCCATTTTAAACATTTATGAGGAAACCTGAGGCCCAGAGTCATAGAGCTAATTAGTGGTGATGTCAGGACCAGAACCCAGGTCTCCTGCCTTTTGGTTCAGTGCTCTGCACTGTATAGTGGTGCTCTGAGCAGTGACTGAGTGGTGAGAGCTGTGGTGGGTTCTCAGTGACTTCAGGGGGGCAAACTGGTCCCATTCCAGGCTTAATTTTTCTGCATATTCAACAGCAATGGCTTAATTACAATGTAAAGGGATGTGCATATGGCTACCAAGAGACTCACCCTGTCCTGTCCAGGCTCCAGCTATTTGATAGAATTAAACATAAATGACTCCTCCCACCCCATCATTTGTTTTTTGAGAAACATCCAATGCCAGGGTTCAAGGACGTCATGTTTGACTAACAGTAACCCAAGTGGCCCTGTGACCTCAAGCCAAGATGTCCATGCTTAGACTGGAGGGAAGGGACTGGGCATTGGGTCCCCACTGATTGGACTCAAGCTAGGATGAGCTCCCTCCACAATGTCCTGCTTCTAAGAGGCACACTGCCCACAGGATCTTCTGCTTCCAAGACTGGAAAAGAGCAGACTGAGTGCTTTCCCCCAAGGGGCTCAGACTTTTATTAAAGGACGGGGGCATGTAGCCACGGCCAAGGAGTGGAAGTCTTTGCTGGGCCAGTGATGACGAAGGCTAGATCCCCTTGGAGGGCTGACACTTTCCTCCCAGAAGGCCAGCGTCAGGTCCCCTCGTTCCCTGCCCCTTTTCAACCTACTCTTGCTCTTCCCTCGCCACACTCACCATCCTGGGGGCTGCCCTTATTGGCTGGGATGTGATCAGGAAGGAGGTGGAGGTAGCATGGGAATATGTATCTACAAAGTCCTCAGTCACAGCTGGGCAGGGAGCAGATCCTAAACACATCCAGATGTCTGGACTCCTTTCTCACCTTCTCTTCCCCATTGACTCCTGCCTCTTAAGTCCTATAAAGGAGTTCCCTCTGGCCACTGATGCCTACCTGCTATGGTTCCCAGCACCTCCCCAGGGATCACTTCAAGGCTTCCTGACTGTTTCCTCCTTGTTATCTTGCTCACTCATTTCCCCAAAACACCATCTTCAGCTTGTCATGGCTCTGTTTCCACTTATAGTGGAGCTCCTGGGCCCAGAGTTGAATACCTCAGCCTGGGCTTCAGGATCCCCTTTGCCACACACCATCCACTGCATTTCACTGTTTCCCACCCTCCCCTCATATTCCCTAAGATCTTCAACTTTTCCTCAGCTGATATGCCTCACCACCTGATGGGACCTCCATCTTTGCTAGAGCTCTGGTTCTCAAAGTGTCATCCTCAGACTAGCAACATCCGCTTAACTGTGCCTTGCTCAATCCTTAGCTTTCTGATCGCCAAGAGCCCCACTCCCAGCTCTGAAAGGATTCTCAGATTCTCCAGAGTTGCAGTTCACACTATACTTACACACTGGCCTATGGTTCAATTGCTGCAAGCATATTTCTCTGTTTGTCCCATGTATAATATATTCCGAGGACAGGAACCAGGTGTCTGAATGTCCATACCAAATGGTGCCTGGGTCAGTGCAGTACCACTAGGCATCCAATCACTGATTTGAATGACTTTTCCCTCTTAAGAACCTCAGGACAAACTATGTTCTCCCAAGGGCCCCTGTATCCTAGTTCTAGGGACTTCATCTTTCCTGGTTCTTCTGCCTCCTCAGAACCTTTTCCTCTCCTCCCACCTCTACCTTGGCATCTGTGAGCTCTTGCTCCACTGTCAGAAAACAGCCATCCCTGGCTCTCCCCAGGCCCTGCTCTCCAGCTCCAGCATCCCCTCCATTGCCTGATCCTCTTTACAAGTGGATTAAGGTAATTCACACTCTCCTGAACCTCCCTGTAGTCTATTATCCTCCTATCTGTCTTAGTGGTGGGAAGGGGTCTGGAAGCCCCCCCTCCCCCATCTGTGCCCACCTTCATCTGGCTTTCTCTCCTCTGGCTCACCTTGGGCTACTGTGTCCAGTTAGGCAGGTGTACCATACACAGAGGAGGTAAGTGGGGCTGAGATCCAGGCCACACTCTGCTCCCCAATCCATGCACTGTGGGTTGGGACAGCGTCTGACTGGAGGAAAAGGGTGCCTTTTGGGATTTCCATAAATATGCTCTAGGGGTAAGTGGCAGCCCTGAGTACGTCACCTGTATGTCAGTCCATTCACCTACCCACCACCACCTGTCCCTAGCTGCTACCACCTTTCCCTCCAACCCCCTATAAGCCCTCCTCTGCCCATCCATAAGCAGATGTGAAGGTCAAACACAGAAAGGCTGGTATGTTCACCCATCCCCACATCTCTGTTCTGAAATCATGACCCCTTGCTCTCCATTCGATCTTACACTCAAGATTCTGAGGGGCCCTCTCTAGCTTTAGCACTTCCCCAGAGACCTTGCCTGCCTCCTCCTCCACCTCCCATAACCAGCTCCCCAGGTACCTGTGTCTGGCCTCCTGCCTGCTGCAGGGGATCTAGAAGAAACTGGTCACATCTTGGACTCACTCTCCGGGGGTGGCAGGCAGCCATTTTGCTCCTTGTCAGCCCCTGTACCCCCACCTGACCCCTCTCCTGAGCCCTCCTCCTCCACCTTCTCATCCAGCCGGCTGGGGATCGACCAGTAGAGGTGGGCATCAAGGCGGGCTGCGGCCTCGGCCAGCTCCCGGGCACTGCATGAAGGTGTGGGCACCTCAAAGGTCTCATGGAAGCTGGCATAGTCCACCTCGTAGAAGCCGTCCTCCAGGGTCAGTACTGATGTGAAGCGGTGACCCCATAGCACCTCATCCACCAGGTAGGAGCTCCGAGCTTGGCATGTCATTCCTGGGGGCAGGAACATGAGTCAAGGGGGCTCCAATCCCAAGCTTCCCTCTCCTGCCTCTCATTCCACCCTAAGCCCAGCACTCTTCCTTCCATTTCCTGCCCAAGGGCCCCACTCCTTGGCCCAGCCCCTTCTCTCCACTTCCCAGCCCCTGCTTTTGTTCAGCTCCTTTTCCTCCATTTGCCCCAACTCCTCTTAATTCCCAGCCACAGTCTCCTCTCTTCTTCACTGATGATGCCAGGGATCTGGCCATTTGCTACTGAAAACAGAGATTAACCTTGAAATTGACTTTAGGGACCAGCTCTGTTGGCATAGTGCCTAAGGCATTTGACTGCTAACCAGAAGGCTGGTTGTTCAAACCCACCAGCCACTTCTCGGAAGGAAGGTTGGGCAATATACTTCCATAGTGATACTGCCTCAGAAACCCAAGGAGGGGTTGCTATGAGTAGGATCCGACCCAATGGCAGTGCGTTTGGTTTTGATTTTAGTACTGCAACTTCCTACTCCACCAGGGTTCCCCACTGGACCATCTCCAACAGTGAGCATCGAGCTTCTGCGTGATCACCTCCCAGGATTGAGAGCTCACTACCTCACAAGGAGCCCACTCCTTGGTGTGACAGCTCTAATCAGTGGATTGTTCTTTATACAGAACTAAAATCTGATTCATGTTATTTCCACCCATTGGTTTGATCCTCCTGACATATGATACCCCTTCAAGTGTCTGAAAGGGGAGTCTCAAGTTCCCTCATGTCTTATCTTCACCAAGCTGACCATCCCTGGTTTTTCCTGAATCATTCTTCCTTTGACCTGATTTCCCAAAATTTCACCTTTTGCATTACAAACCAGAATGAGCCAAGAAGGACCACTTTTAGGGCTATGAGTGTGATAAACACCCCAACCGTGGCCTGATCCATGCATAAGAGGAGGCCCAACACCCCTATTCTGGTCATGATGCTTTAGTTAATAAGGCCAAGATTCCATTACATAATTGTTTTTGGAAGCTGCATCACATTGCTACAGCATCAAGCCGGTGGCCAACTAAACCCCCAGATCTTTTTTACCAGAGCTCTTCCATGCTGTGCTTACATAAGTGATTTTTTTTAAAAAGCCTAAATGTAGAATTTTATATTTATTCCTTTTAAATGTCATCTTGTTGGTTTTTAGCTCAATATTCTTGCCTTTCAACAGCAAGCAAGTAATCCTGACTCTCTCACCAAAAATATTAACCATCCTTTGCAGCTTTGTCTCTCTAGATAAATCAAACAAGCTCCCATCCCTATCTTCTCCACCCTTCCCTCCCCAGCCCTCCTTGGCCTGTCTTCCCTGTCAGATGGGCACACTCACAGGACAGGGCAGTCTCCTCCTATCCCAGGGTCTCTCCCCTAGCCCATATCCACCTCAGAACAAGGTGAGGGGCGGGGGTGAAGAGTAAACATTAGCTAACCAGACCCTGGCTCTCATCTCCCTGCACTGAGACATCTTGGGGACACTGGTATCCTTTGTTCCTGTGGTGGAGGCTGGAATAGGAAGCACCTGGTGGGGGAGGAGGAGAAGAAAAGGCAAAAGGGACACTGGGGATCCAAAGGGAAGAGAGGTCTGCACACGAGTTTCCCTGTAAGGAAAGAGGCCTGCCTATGATACTGGCTAAAAAGGGATGACGAAGAGGACAAAAAGATGGGGGGAGCTGTGGAAGTGAGGGAAGAATGGGGGACACTGAGGCAGAGAGAGGTGAAACAGGCTCAGCTTGCAGCGGGGCAGGGAAGAATTTGAAGGCAGCAGTTTCTCAGAGAGGACAATAGGGGGCAACAGAAACTCACCAGTGACAGGAACTGCAGGGGCCCCTAGTGGGCCTTTGGTTCTACACCTAAAGTTTTCTTCATCTCCTACCACAAGATCTCAAATCCTAAAGACTAGTCTTTTCCTAACTGCTCCCAAACCCTGGCCTGAATTGGAGGTGCTTGTCATTACAAGGGAGTTGCCAGTTTCTTACAGGAACGTGCTAAAAATGCTAAGATCATCTAATTCCCTTGATAGTGGAAGCTTCCATGGAAGGGCAAACTTCCCCAAGGTCCAACCTGGGAATAACTCAAGCCATGGAAAACCCTCACCACCAAATCCCAAGAGCCCAGACTTCTCAGCAATGAGAAGAACCTAATCTTTCCTTCCAGCCCTGGACCACTAAACACTGAGGCCAGACTGCCTGTGTCCAATCCAGGTGCTGCCTGCCACTTACTAGCTTATAATTGTGGACAATGTACTCAACCTTTCGTCGGGGCAATCTCATCTCTGAAAAATGAACATAATATAGGGTTGCTTTTAGGATTAGATTAACTCATATGTATAAAGAACTTTAGAATCCTGCATGACAGAGTAAGCACTCAATGTTAAGTGCCTTTGAGGCAATTTTTAACTCAGAATGACAGGAGAAAGGAGCTCTGGTAGCGTAGTGCCTAAGGGACTTGACTGCTAACCAAAAGGCTGGTGGTTCAAACCCACCAGCCACTCCTCGGAAGGAAGGTTGAGCAATCTACTTCCCTAGTGATACAGCCTTGTAGACACAAGGAGGAGTCGCTGAGTTGGGTCCGACTTGACGGCACATTAACAACAATGACAGGAGAAGATCTTTCTCCCAGAGCCACTAGATGAGTTCCAGCCACCAACCTTTACCAGTTACCAACTGAGCACTTAACCACTGTGCCACCAGAGCTCTTAAGCACTCAACGAGTCTTAGCTATCTTCATTACCCAAACAAAACCCATTGCCCTGGAATGGATTCTGACTCCTAGCAACCCTATAGTACTGAGTAGAATTGCCTCATAAGGTTTCCAAGGCTATACATCTTTACAAGAGTAGACTGCCACATCTTTCTCCCACAGAATGGCTGATGGTTTCCAACCGCCAATCTCTCAGCTCCTAGCCAAGCACTTTAACCACTGCAGCACCAAGGCTCCTTGCTATTATTATTCTTTCTGATTTCAAGTGACATCTCTCTGCCTAAGGCCCCAAGTCAGGGCTATTTCACAGTTTGCTCTTGGCCTCTGCTAGGTCCTGTCCAGCCCTCCTTCCAGGTGTCCCATCTCATCTCAACCTCCAATCTTGCACCAGTTTCCCCATCCATCCCCCCTCCTCACCATGCCCCTCTACTTGTCTCTGCCTTCCTCAGCCCTGCCTCTTGCCCCAACTCTAGCCCCCGTCCACCCTTCGCCCCTCCCAGGACCGGCCCGCACCCGTGGCTTCCACCATGCCCTCGAGGATAACAACGATCTCGAAATCGTCCCTCTCAAGGGCGCGGCGCGAAGCCTCCCAAAAGGGGCTGGCGGCGTCGATCTCGTGGCTGATGACTAGCGGCGAGACGAGGAAGAGGCGGTCGTCGCCCGTGTCGAAGCCCACGCTGAGGTCGGTCTGGTGCAGCGGGATGAATTCGCCTTCCAGCGTCTGCCGTGAGCGGATAAGCTTGGCGCGGATGGAGGCCTCGACTATGTGCGAGGAACGCAGGTCGCCCACGCGAAACATGAGGCAGAGGCGCCCGTCGCGCAGTGACACCACTGCGTGCGAAGAGAAGACCAGCGTGGCGGCGCGCTTGTTGGGCTGCGAGATCTTGACAAACATGCAGCCCACCATGAAAGCGTTCACCATGGAGCCCAGGATGGCTTGCAGCAGCAACAACACGATGCCCTCGGGGCACTGGTCGGTGATGACACGGTGCCCGTAGCCGATGGTGGTCTCCGTCTCGATGGAGAAGAGGAAGGCCGCCACGAAGCCGTTGAGGTTGTTGACGCAAGGTGTCCATGCTGTGTCCTCTAGGTGCTCCAGGTCGCCGCGACCGTAGGCGATTAGCCACCAGATGGCGCCGAAGAAGAGCCAGGTGAGCGCGTAGGCGAGCACGAAAAAGAGCAGGCTGAGGCGCCACTGCAGGTCCACGAGCGTGGTGAAGAGGTCGGTCAGGTAGCGGTATGTCTCGCGCACGTTGCCCTGCTGCACGTTGCAGCGGCCATCCTTCTCCACGTAGCGCTGCCGGCCGCGGCGGCGCGGCGGTTCCTCCGGCCCGGGTGAGAAGGCCGCGTTCTCCTGCGCCATGGCGGCTGCGTCAAGGCGAAAGCCACGGGCGCCGGGGGCGCTCTGGGGGCCCGGGCTGCAGCCACGCGGGGCCCCACCTTCGGCGCCTTGGCGGCGGCAGTGATCCTAAAGGAACTTAATAAAGGTTTGTTGAATTAATGAACCCGCCAGACAAGAGGAAGGCCCAGCACCAATTGCCTGGGGGTCCCTGAGAGCATCTCCGAGCCTTAAAGTCTGCTGCGTCAGTAGAATGGGAATAATATGTATACCCCGAACTGTCCCCCTACCTCAGAAAGTTTTAGGATGAAAGAGGGTGATGTATGTGAATTGGGTAGTGTAATACAAGTTCAATTATTCTTTTTAGGAGGAGGTACCAGAGATCTGTATCCCACCAACTCAGTTTCCTGAAGTCCTTAGACTATGAGCTTATTGGAGGCAGACGCAGTCTTCTTGTACTATGTGTACTTTCTGCACTAAAGACTTCCCTCACTCCTTCCCTGGCTGATGTCAGTGCAGTCTCGTAATCCCTATTCCCACCACTCAACTCACTCTTTTGAGACTCACCCCAAGATTGATGCACTGGATCTCTTTCCCACTTTTACCTCCCTCACCTCATTCACTCCACTCCTCTTCCCCAAATCTTCCTCCTCTCAACAAGCTTACATAGTAGAAGGAACTGGAAGTTTTAGGAAGCAAGTGAAAAATCTCCAGTGGGCAAGGGTCAGACGTTCCCACACTACAAAATTCCCACTGGACATCCTCCTAACCATGATCACTGCTGCCCCATCTCCCCAGGTTCTTTCCTCTGTGGCGACAACAGTGGTTTGAGAATGGGGAGAGGGACTGGGGGGTGTGGGAGCAACACAGCCTGGGAAAGGGAGCACAAAGTTCCTTAAGAGTTGGGTTTATATCCCTCTAGGAGCTCTGGTGGCATAATGCCTAAGGCATTTGACTGCTAACCAGAAGGCTAGAGGTTCAAACCCACCAGCTACTCCTCGGAAACAAGGTTCGGCAATCTACTTCCGTACTGATACTGCCTTGGAAACCCAGGGAGGGGTCGCTATGAGTCGAATCCGACTCCACTCCACAGCAGTGGGTAGTATCCTACTCTTTGTGAGAGACATTAAATCCAATAAAGTGAAGCACTAAGCATTCACATTTACTTCCCCACCTCCTCCGGTTCTTTTCCTGTTAGCCTCCTACTTCCTAGTGACTACCCTAATGCCAGCCCCTCCCACCCACCATGTGCTCCAAAGCCCACACTCAAATCGAAGCCCACCTGAATTTGCTTTAAATTTTTTCCCCTGAGTATCTCTTTGGGCTGCAGTCTGTCCTGAGAGAGGCTGAGAGCCCTTCCCTAGGCACCACAGGACACCAGGGAGTATGGACCATAAAAAGAAAAGTCTAGAATAAGGATTCTGGACTCTTTGACCTTTCTTTCTCTTCCCTGGGAATTGCCCTTCCTCTCCTCCCCCAATTTGAGGGCCTAGCTGGGGGTGACATAAGAATCACAGATGGCCTGGATATTTGACCAGGTCCTGGAGAGAAACTGCCTGGATATGCAACTCTAAACCCAGCCTTCTAGCACTGAAGTCCTGGAGTGAGGTACTCTAGCCAAACCTTTGGGATGTGTGCATATTGGGATGGAGGGCAAAAGGAGAAACCAGAGGTAACTGGGACTTTAAGGGTACCTCCCATGTTTATTTTCCAGGAGTTGGGGACACAGGGTCCAGTAGCCCTATTGCAATGATAGATTAGGATCTTCCCCTCCCCTGATGCCAGACCTCCTTTTCCCCTCCCAGCACTTCAGGATGCTCTCAGGAAATGATGTCTAAGCACTGACTGGCCCAGAGGCCCCAAGTCACACAGAAAAGTACCAGGGTCCAAATCATCTTAGCTTCAGCCCCCGGTGGGCCTCCAGATGTTCTCTCAGGGTCTTAGGTAATCAGATCCCCAGTCTGCCTGCCTAGACTCTCATTGCCAGTTGTGGGAATGGAACCTTGTGGTCTATTACTCTCCCCAGAACACTTTCTGTCTCCATTGCTCCAGCAAGCTGCAAGCTGCGTGACTCTTATTTTGATTTTGTCCCATCTCCTGTCTTCTTGGATGGGGACTACGTATTTTCTTAATGGGGAAGGAAAGATGTGAAATCGTTGCCTCTTTCCCAGGATCAAGAACTCAATTTCTGCATCTTACCTCCATCGATTCCAGTTCCTCCAACCTACTCCTCCTCATTCCTTGTGCATGCTGTGAGCCCCTTCCAAAGACCCCAGGACCAGGTTTTCCTGAGCCACTCTCCCTCCCTGTGGGAAGAGTGCTGAGCAGCAAAGAGGCTTATTTTCTGGAAAAAGACCTGGTGAAAACTCCCTTTTTCCCAAAGCCCCACTTGCCTTGGAAATGGGGGCCTAAACCCCAAGTCCCCCGCAACTCAACTCACAGCACGTGGAGAGGAGTGTAGCCGGCAGCAGAGACCCCTGGGGGATAGCATCCATGCCCCTGACACAGCCCCACTCCTGGACTCCCTTGGAGGGTGGGAGCTGGACACTGATGTTTCTCCTAAATGTAGCGGCAGCTCTGACTAGGACTTGCTATCTGTGTCATCCCTACTTCCCAGGCTCCCCTGCTTCTCTCTTGTTTCCACAGCAACCAGTCTGGCGACAGCTCCACAGCATCCCCTCCCTTCCCTGGTCCTGGGTACCACTAGAAGCTGATCTACATGCCACAGCTATTTTTAGCCAAATTCCCTCCTCCTGGACAACTCAGAGCTCGCCTCCTCACCCCCTTAGGAAAAAAATAAAAGAAGGAAAATAAAAGCTGGCATGCTGGTTCTTTACTAAGAAGCTTCTTGCCCTGGGAAAAAAATGGGCTGTAGTGGGTTTGGGAATAAGGAGTTTGGTTTCCTGGGGATTCAGGTTCCATATGGTAGATGACAGCTCATCACCTCCAATTGGAGATTCTGGGGGCAGGTGCTGCTTCTGAACCAGGCCCATCATCACAATCTCCATTTTCAGAGACTACTTTGGCCCAGAAGGAGATAGCTAGAGGGAAAAGACACCTACCTGAAGAAGGGATGTGAAACTGATGCCCCTATTCCAGGATAAAGGACTGAGGGTTCTACTCTTAGTCATTTGCAATGTCACCCATAGGAGTCACTTCTCTTCCCAGATCCACAGTTATTCAATCTATCACAGGATGTGGGTCCATGCAGATAATTCCTTTCTGCCTACTTCACAGGATGTGCAAATCAAATGAGGCAAGATAAATAGAAGGGCTTTGAAATGTATTTTGTTCATAGTAAAATGCCTAGAGACAACTCAGATGTCCAACAGAGGGAAAAGTCTTGTCTAGGACTTATTAACTATTCATTCAACAAACTTTTATGTGGCCCAGCAAAATAGCAGGCAATGTGCTAGGTGAAGGTGGTTACAGAAATGAATAACAAGCCCATGGAGGGCTCATGATCTAGGGGAGAAAGATACATCATCATCATCATAATTATGTATTAAGCATTAGCTATGAACTAAATTCATGTCTCCTTTAATCACCAGGACAGCTCTGTAAGATGGGCATTATTGTTCTCATTTATAGATGAAAAAATGAAAACTGAGAATGGTTAAGTGATTTACAAAATATCTCTGGCATTGGGCAGAGGTGTATACTCACACCTCTGTATACTCATGTTCTCACAAAGTTACACTGCATCCGTAATACAATATCTGTGGCATAGCAATAGGTTACTGTAAAGTCATTCAAATTACTGTGTTCATGTATGTGAATGTGTTTATGGACACTGTTAAATTTAAAAAGCAGAGCATAACATGTTCTTAGAAATTGATCATAACTGAATAGAAACAGCTGGAAGGGCACAGCTGATAAAAAAATTATTTGGAGAAATAGCTGAATGTTCATTTTCTTCTGGGGAAGTAATTAGAATCAGAGAGTGGTACACAAATGCAAGGTGGTATTGTAATTGGTATTATTATACCCAACATATTGATCTATTCTCCAGATTCCTTGAAGTTGGATCAAGAAGATAGGAGGTAGAAGAGCAGGAATAAGTAGAAAAGGACACTGGAGGGTTGGATGTTCCTGGAATGAACTGGCAAGGCGGGAAAGCCAGTACTGAGTGATATAAGCTTGAGAAGTGATGACCTGGGTTCCAATCCCAACTCTGTCTGTTACTAGCTGGGTTACTTTGAGCAAGTTACTGGTTTCTTCGTCTAAAAAAATGAGAATAACAGTATTATCCGTCTCTTGGGGTGGTTGTGAGGAGGAGATAAGGCCATGTGTGGTACATGATAAGTACAGGTAGTCCTTGATTTAGGACGTATTCAAGTTAAGATAAACCACATTTAAGACCATCCAGTTTTGTTTGTTTGGTAGTTTTTGTACATCTTATTATTGGTAATGAGAACTACATACTATATTGCAGTGTATGATTTGTTGATATTATCATTCTCATGCCAATCCCTGAAGGCAAATAAAGATTGGATTTATAAAGATATTGATAATAAAAGGCAATAATGATGAAAACTTGTTTTAAAAATGAGATTTTCAGCTGATGTCAGAACTGACTTATTAAGCAGTTGTTGAAATGGAACCTGTTTTAAGTTGTTGTTCTGTGCCTTCAAGTCGACCCCAACTCATAGTTACCCCTCCTTGGGTTTCTGAGGCAGTATCACTCCCTCCTTGGGTTTCCGAGGCAGTATCACTACGGAAGTAGGATTGCCCAACCTTCCTTCCGAGGAGTGGCTGGTGGGTTTGAACCGCCAGCCTTCTGGTGAGCAGTCAAGTGCTTTAGCCACTATGCTACCAGAGCTCCTCTGTTGTAAGTAGACTACTTCTATTCAGTAAATGCTAGAGGCTATCTTCCTTCTCCTCTTCATTATCAAGGTCATCCCAGGGACCTTCTGAAAGCCCCACCCAGGGTGTGCTGCCTTCCTCTGTTCTGGCACCACCCAGTGAGACCTGCAGGGGGCGCTCCCTGCACACTACCCTCTTCTCCCCAGCCTTCTTCCCCATGTTTCTTGTTCCAAGTGGAAATATCGAGTTTTCAGCCTGAGATTGGCATCAGGAAGGCTGTTAAAGCCCCAGTCAACATCCCCGTCTCCTGGGCCTGGTCCTGTCACCCGAGCCTGGGGACTGCTAGCCTGCCCTTCTCTGTCCTGCCAAGCAGCTGCTCACATTGGTTCCACTGTGCCAGGAGCTCAGGGAAAAGAAATCAAACTCCTGGGCAAGAACTCATTTGCATAGAGCTGGCCCCATTTCCTGGAGGGGAAATCACAGGGCTGGCAGAGCCCTCCAGAAGATGTTCTCAGCCAGTCTCCTGTGTCCGTCCAGGCTACCTTTGAACCCAGCCTTACTGACAAGCAGGTAGACCACCACTCCCCCTTGCAGGATATATTAATCCTGCAAGTCCAAGACTTTGTTATCTAACCTCAACTCCTTGTTTATCACTGAACTTGGATAGAGACATAGGGGTGAGGAAGCTTTCTTAGGTACCAGGATACAGAAAAATAGGCAAGTTTGTAGCTTTCAGGTCTTAATGAATGAAAGAAAGAAAATTTACAAGGAGTCAGCAAAAATATCAGTATAGTCGTAATGATGGGAAATTGGATTTGGGATTGGAGAATGTTGAGGGCAGGAAAGGCACAGCTAGGACCATTGCTGGCCTTTAAAGAACCTTGGTACAAAATAGAAAAAGGTTTCCCCTCTGGGCAGATGCACTACTTATGACATACAGCTGGGAGAGCAGGTGATACCTTTGGCCAAAAAAAAAAAAAAAAAAAAAAAGTTCCTTTCCTCCAGTAGACATAATTCTGAGCCAAAGTGCAAGAATTGGCAAGCTTAATCCAGGCTACAGTTCAGGCCTCAACTTGCCCCCTCAGTGGATGCCTTTGTGTAGTACACAAACTATACAACTGTATGTGGTAGCCCTGGGATCAGCAAACCTGAGAAGGCTTCCTTGGGGAAGATTAGGAAACTTCTTGGGCAAAAGCTTGGAGATAGGAGACTAAGCATGATGGAAAGACAAGAGATGATTGAAGATAGAGCTTAATGGAGCAGGGAGGCCACCTGGTAGATTGTTGTTGTTGTTATGTGTTATGTCGACCCCAACTCATAGTGACCCCTCTTTGGGTTTCCAAGGCAGTATCACTATGGAAGTAGATTGCTCCATCTTCCTTCTGAGGAATGGCTGGTGGGTTTGAACCACCAGCCTTCTGGTTAGCAGGCAAGTACATTAGGCACTATGTTACCAGAGCTCCTACCTGGTAGATTATAAGAGTATATATCAGTTCAAGAGAGATGGGGTCTTAGAAATCTTGAAGCAGAGGAGGGATATGATTGAAACAGAGGCTGTGGTAAATGACTATAGCTGGAGATTAGAGTGAAGTGGGAGAGAAGCAGAGCACCAGTCCAGGACAGACAAAGCGCCAGCTGGGTTCCTGAGGCTAAGGAACTTGATGGCCTGCTGGCTGTTTTCAGCAGAGCAAGAGGATCAGAAGCCTTTTCATGCACATGTCTATCTTGCTTTACAGAAGGGGTGGATATAGATTGAGATTTAAATGTCATATGGTGTTTAGAAGGAGCTCTGGTGGCATAGTGCCTAGGGCATTTGACTGCTAACCAGAAGGCTGGCAGTTCAAACCTACCAATCACTCCTCAGATGGAAGACTAGGCAATCTACTTCCACAGAGATACTGTCTCAGAAATCCAAGGAGGGGTCACCATGAGTCGGAACCAACTTGATGACAGTGAGGTGTCTTTTTTTTTTTTAATGGTGTTTAGAAGTGGTCCAGTTTTAGCCTTATTACAGGTGAGGAATGGGTCCTGAGAGGAGCCAGGACTAAGCACCAGTCCTCCTGACTCTTGATTCCTGGTCATTTCTTCATTCTCTGTTGTTTCCCTCCTACCGCAGTGAATTGTTGATGGAATTTGTATCAATTGGACCCAACTGGAAAGGTACTAGAGGAGTCACCTAGTTAAAGAAATGATTTATTTATTTTTTAAGGGATAGAATCTTGTAGTGATATGATTAAGTTCTCTTAACTTATATGGCTAATAAATGTAAATTCATGTACATTGCATTTACTTAAAGGAGGTGATATACCTAAATAATGATCCACTAGTGACTGGAGAAAAGAGTCCTGGTGGTGTAGGGCCTAAGGCATTTGATTGCTAACCAGAAAACTGGCCGTTCAAACCTATCAGCTACTCCATGGAAGGAAGACTGGGCAATCTACTTTTGTAAAGATTTACTGCCTTGGAAACCCAAAGAGGATTGCTATGAGTCGTAATTCGACTTGATGGCAGTGAGGTTTTTTTTTTTTTTTAATGACTGGAGGGATGTAGCTCAATTCCTCCCTTGGGTTTCTCTTCCGTGTGTGCCTGAATCATTCAGCTACCAGGTACTCTACTACTAATGGATTTCCCTATGGGTCCTGACCACCAAAATCTCATTTGGAATCCTGTGGTAGACCAATTGAGTGTCTATTCTTTTTAGCCAACTTTCTGACTTGTTAAGGTAAGTATTGCCTATTCTGAACCTCTCTTATGCTTCTTG